ACTCCCGATGTGACGGTCAGGGTGACATCTACTCGGACCATCGCCTTCTGCGCGTACCCTACCGGCTTCGGTCCCTGTGATGGGGCCAGTCAAGCCTGGGAGGCTGTGAGCGAACCTACCAAACCGGCTGCCAAAGGTTGGTTCGGCGGGTTTGGAGGCCGTCACGGGTCACATGGGCCAGGACGACTGGGCGGCTGGCGCGGTCCCCCGCAATTCGGGCCTCACGGTGGTTCTCAAGGCGGCTCTGAGCAAGGCGGTTCTCAACACGGTGGCTCTCAAGGCGGCTCTGAGCAAGGCGGATCTCAACACGGTGGCTCTCAAGGCGGATCTCAGGGCGGTAGCTATCAGGTCGGGCCTCAAGGTGGCTCTCAACACGGTGGCTCTGAGCAAGGTGGCTCTCAGGGCGGTAGCTACTATCAAGTTGGGCCTCAGGGTGGATCTCAAGGCGGTTCTCAGCAAGGCGGCTCCCAACATGGTGGCTCCCAAGGTGGTTCGCAGCAAGGCGGCTCTCAGCAAGGCGGCTCTCAGCAAGGCGGCTCCCAAGGTGGCTCCCAAGGTGGTTCTCAACACGGAGGCTCACAAGGAGGTGGCTATCAGGGCGGCTCTCAGCAGGGCGGCTCTCAAGGCGGTGGTTATCAAGTCGGCCCTCAGGAAACGCCAAGCTGGAACGGGTGGCTCCCTGGTTTTCTCCAGCCCGGCCAAGGTGGCAATGGAGGTGTCCACACTGTTACAGTCACAGTATCGCCTACCTTGAATCCAATCTCGACCACAAAAACGTCGTCCCCAGCCCTCACCTACAGCTCGAGCACGACTTCTTCTACACCTATGACATCGTCGACCACCAGCTCTTCGCTATCATCAGCGGTTGGACCAATTGGAGACAGCACTACCACCTCTTCGTCGTCCACTTCAATGTCAACATCAACGACATCGGACTCTTCTAGCACCAGCACTACGGATTCGACGACATCATCGATGACTACGAGCTCTACCACAACCTCTGCGACGACCTCTGCGACGGTCACTCCAGATACACCTCCTGACCGGGTAATGGGTGACGGAAGCTTCTTGGTGTCTCTCAATGGGGGTCTCGGGTCGAAGATGAGGCGCCAAACACTTACAAGCTACCTTGGCTTCGCGGGCACTGTTGCTATTGCTGTCACTGACATGGACGACGCCTGGGCTTTGGTGTACGATGATCAAAACCAGATCCTCGGGTTCAGTGGGCAGTCTGGCTTCATGGGCTTTGACAGCGACACAATGACGGAACCACTTCGCAAGTCCAGCACTGATGGCACCTATGCTCCAGCAGTCTATTCCGGATGGGAAATCAACGCCATCTCCGGTGACATTGACTTCGGAACCGCCCAATTCTGCGTCTTCACCAACGCCACGGTCTTCGCTTATTGGGATTTTATTCTCCCTAATGACTGTTTCCCTGTTAGGCTCACCGACACAAGCATCAACCCTGGCACGACTTCAACCACCAGCAGTATGTCCAGCACTACATCCTCCAGCTCTACTTCCTCGACTATGACTACCACCACCACCGCCTCTTCAGTGGTGGATGACACTTCCACCTCATCATCCTCATCCTCAACCTCCATGTCCACTTCGTCTAGTTCCACGACCTCTTCGTCCTCTACCTCGACGACCAGTGAGTCAAGCACGTCTTCTATGAGTGAGTCGAGCACAACCAGCTCCACCTCTACTTCGTCTAGCTCCGCCTCATCTGCGGTGGATCCCTTCTCCACTTCATCAAGCAGCTCGAGCACGTCGACTCTGTCCACGACTACAAGCAGCTCGACATCCACGATGAGCACGACCACGAGCTTTGATGATATCCCGACTTTCACCACGTCTTCTACCAGCACTAGCTCTATGACGAGTAGCTCAGTTATTGGCCCCGTCGAACCTACAACCACGAGTTCCAGCAGCACGAGCTCGACATCCACAATGAGCACAACCACGAGTTTTGATGATATCCCGCCTTTCAGCACATCTTCTAGCAGCACAAGCTCTATGACAAGTAGCTCTTTGATTGGCCCTATTGAACCCACAACCTCGACCACATCGGCTGACAGCACATCTACGACTACTTCTGAGATGACGACCACGACTTCATCAATGACTACTACTTCTGAGATGACGACCACAACTTCTGACATGACTACTACTTCTGAGACGCCGACCACCACTTCGACAATGACTACTACTTCGTCGAGCTTGATTGATCCAGTAGAACCTACCAGCACATCATCATCCTCTACAATGTCTACTACCGAATCGTCAAGCTCGACTAGCTCGACCAGCTCGACCAGCTCCACGACCTCCACGACCTCGGAGACGACCTCAACAACCTCGGAGATGACCTCGACAACCTCAATGACCTCCACGACCTCGAACGGGGACGCAACAAGCACTACCAGCAGCACCGGCGCATCAAGCAGCACCCCGATCTAGACGACCGTCACAACCGACCATTTTCCTTTTGTCCTTTTCATTGACTTTTAACGTCGGCAGCAAGGTGTTTCCTTAGGGGATGGAGCGAGGAAGGAGGAATGGGTGGTCGACTCTGATTTCGCATTTTCACTTCTTCCATAATTCTATAATGAGGCTACCCATGTTTAACGCAACATAGATACACGATAAGCAATGTTGATCAAAGATGACACGAACTGTTTTATTTTCCATGCCTATCGAGGTGCTAAACTTTGATCTCTCTCCCCTCGCAAGGGCGAACATGATTAAGCTCGAATTTAAGCTCCAGATAAAGTTCCGTGTAGACTTGCTAGCTTGAGACATCGACGTCATCATTCACGTGGACGCGCGTGAACACGCGTAGGACACGATACGCGTGCCGTATATCTCTTCTTGTGGCTTGGTGGACTTTTTTTGACAGTGCCACTATACACAGGGTGACAACGATGTTTTCTAAGCCTTTCAAGCCTCTCACTATCCGCAAACCCGCTGACAGCGAAGCTCTCGACCAGGGGATACCACCAGCCAAGCGAAGAAAGCTCACCTCCGACATTCGTACTGAAGCAGCGAAGACATCATCCGATGAGGGCGCAAGACCACCCCTCAAGTTGATCTCCAACCCTCCAAGTCCTGCTCTGGAGCTGAATGGCATTGAATCAGAAGGCCCCGAGAGCTATTTCTCGATTCTCTGGTATGTGATCTATAGACTTCGCAGACACCGTTCACTCATGACTATTCCAGGCGTATCCCCACGAACAAGAAGAACAAGACTTGGACGGATGATGGGGTCCTCGCCGTAAAGGATGGCCACGCAACACTCTATGCAAAATCGGGAAGGATCATTGGCCGCACTGCCATCGCTTTACCCCTACAGCCCGGCTTGAACCTGACCATTAGTGGAAAGGAAGTCGAGCTCGATTCGCAAATCAGCAAGAATGTCTACCTCCAAGCGATCGGCTCCAAGCCCAAGCCTACGGACGTCGAACACAAGGCCGCACCGCCGTCTCTGCCAACGAAACCCTCTGAGGTTCCGCAGGCAAAGTTAAGCATACAGAGTCAAATGAAAGCTCAAATACAGAAAGAGAAGGCTCAGGTCCAGAACCAACGTCCTCCACCCCTCAGTCGTGCCAGCGGGTTCAAACAACCACTGAAGGAGTCGAGGATAATCCCACAAGGCTCAGGTGAATCGCCGAGACCACGGCACGATCCCAATACGGATGGAGCAATTGTCTTCAGGAGGCCCAAAGGTCTACCTGGGGGGAGACAAATTGTGGACGTGGTGTTAGACCCCCTAATTGGCAAGAAGTTGCGACCACATCAGCAAGAAGGAGTGAAGTTCCTCTATGAGTGCGTCATGGGGCTGCGTAATCCTGATGGTCAAGGATGCATCCTGGCAGACGACATGGGACTCGGCAAGACTCTGACCACAATCGCTCTCTTGTGGACATTGCTGCGGCAAAATCCAATCTTCCGAGAACCGCCCGTAATAAGAAAGGCTCTCATTGTCTGCCCGGTAACCCTCATACGGAATTGGAAACGAGAGTTCCAGAAATGGCTCGGGTCCGACAGGCTTGGGGTGCTTGAGTTTGAAGATCAACAGACTCGTCTGAACAACTTTGATGGGAAAGTCTACCAGGTGATGATCATTGGCTATGAAAGATTGAGGATAGTAGCCGATGATCTTGCCAAAGGACCACCCATTGACATTGTTGTCTGTGACGAGGGTCATCGTCTCAAGACCATGAAGAACAAAGCCGCCCAAGCTATTGAGTCGTTGAATACGAAGCGGAGAATCATTCTGTCGGGGACTCCAATACAGAACGACTTGGGCGAGTTCTTTTCCATGGTCAACTTTGTGAACGACGGGTGTCTGGGATCCCAAAAGGGTTTCATCCGGGACTTTGAGAAACCCATTATGAGGAGTCGTCAACCGGATGCGTTGCCGGCGGACATTGAGCGTGGTCAAGATGCAAGTGAGGAATTGACTCGTACGACGTCGGCGTTTATACTACGCAGGACGGCAGACATTCTAGCAGATTTCTTACCCCCGAAGACGGAATATGTGCTGTTCTGCAAACCGACACCAGCACAGGCAAAGATATATCGGAGCGTTATCCGTTCACCTATGTTCAAAAGTGCATTGCGCAGCCAGGAGACGGCATTTCAGCTGATCACTATTTTGAAGAAACTCTGCAACAGCCCGGCATTGATGGATCCCAACTATGGCAATGATGAATCAACTCCCTCGTCGTCGCTTGTCACGTTGAACGAAATGCTTCCCGATGGGTTGTCCAGACTGTATCAGAACTCAGTGTCTTGCAAGATCCGTCTCCTCGATCAACTCCTGCAGCAAATTCGCACCAATACCGATGAAAAGGTCGTGGTCATTTCCAACTACACCTCGACGCTCAACTTGATCCAGCAGCTGGCAGCAAACTCCAATTTGTCTTTTCTCCGTCTTGATGGTTCAGTCGCAGCTAAGAAGAGACAGGCTCTCGTGGACAAGTTCAACCGCTCAACAGCGCCACAGTGCTTCATGTTTCTTCTGAGTGCTAAGGCAGGGGGAGTCGGGCTCAATCTGATAGGGGCAAGCCGTCTAGTTCTCTTTGATGTGGACTGGAACCCTGCGACGGACGATCAGGCAGTGGCCCGCATCTACCGACAGGGGCAGAAGAGACACTGTAAGATTTACAGGTTTCTGATCAAGGGTGGCTTGGAAGAGCGCATCTGGCAGCGGCAGGTGGTCAAGCGAGCATTGGCGGACAGCATCATGCAAGGCGGGTCACATCTGGGGTCGTCCGCTTTCAATGAGCCGAAGACTAAGGCTCAGGGTGGCACGTCAAGTTTTAGTCAAGAAGAGTTGAAAGACCTTTTTCGCTTGGACGAGGGCAGCGGTTCACGAACCCATGACCTGATCGACTGTGGTTGTGAGGGTGCGGGACAGGAGGGAACAGGCCAGGACGAAAATGACGGCGTGCAACAGGATCCGTCTTTAGATGGGAACGACGAAGACGGATACGGCGATGAGGAGCTCGAAGGCTCCGCTGGAATATCAAAAGCCCTGTCGTCAGCAAACACGTCGAGCGCAGAGAGGCCATCCATGGTGACTGAACTTGAGGCAGAGAAACATCAACTGATGCAATACAGGCATGTGGACACTTCAATCCTGGCCCAGGAAGACGGAGATCAGAAGCTGAGGACACAAGTGTTGGCTGCAATTGATGATGTCTGTCTCGAGCAGGTGGCAACCCTTGACCAGGACATGATAGGAGGTGGTGGAATCTCATATATCTTCAAGAGGGCCAAAGGCAGTCGGTGTCTCAAGGAACAGGACAGCTCACAGGTGACTTGACAACAAGAGTCGGATGAGCTTCAATGCTCCAGACCAAGCCACTACGAAATTGCAAAGATCAGGCCCTTTCTGGGAGAATGAGGAATATGCAAATGACACAAGGAATTACAAGGAGCTCTTTTACATCGGACTTTTGCACGACGAAGCGCTCGCTAACAATTCTCTGGTTATGTAGTTAGACGCCACGGCTTGATTGATACAAGATACACGAAGCTTTCGGGGACTACGATGAAATTGAGTCTATCAAGTACAATGCTGGTGGTGGCAGTGTGCATCCCATATTACACTCCTTTTCGTGCCACCTCACCAATGTCAAGATTGAGAGAATACAGACGGCAGTCATGGTAAGAGGCTCCTACTCGGACGACATGTTCTGGAACAGGACGTCAAAACCACGAATACGTGACTAAGACAAAATTGCGTTGGAATCCATCGACGGATCAGAGCAGGACTGGGTTTACCTCTTCGCTGCGAGACACTCGGATCGAACAGCTGGAATCTGCCGATGCGAGATTTGACGATGCATCTGGTGTCTTTGGCCCCCTGACCAGCTCCAATTCAGTCTAGACTGTATGCGTCAAGTCAATCATTGCTTCCAAAACAGGCACTGGTGCAAGCCACGTTCAGGCCTCCCTACCCGTTTGGGTAAGTAAAGAGGGCGAGCCAACTGGTGTTTCTGGGGGACATACTCCATGGCGTACCCTCGTCTGGTTCTCTGGCCATATAGTCAGTGCGACCATCACTATGGCTGAGCACCTTGTAACGAGTACGAGCCAGGCAAAGAGTAAAGGGGGTTCCAGGCCCTACTTTGATCCCCTGTTTCTATCGTGTCGACTGCTATATCTGACCTCCGCAGAACCTCACACATCTGTATGAGAGGTGGACGACTTTATTACATTCGCCGCTAACGACAGCTTCTCGACATTCCTCTTCGAGCCTCCAGCATGCGGTGCCAGCTTATCGGTTTCGCTGCCCTTGGACTCTCCAACCCAGCCTTGGCCGGTTGGTTTGGGTCGGATTGGGTCTGCGAGGTGGGCATATATGCGCAATATGCTGATTTGGCAGGGTATGGCCCAGCTGAACAGTTCTGTGCCGGCCGTTTTCCCGAGCCAGCAGTGACCGTGACCGTAACAGCGTCGTCTGGCCATGGTCACGGCTGGTTTCCCAAGCGTTCGTGGGGACGACCGAACCCGATTAACTCGCTGCTGGAGCAGCTCGAGCGGTTGCCATCACATGAGCAGGAGACTGCGTGTTCATGCATTGAGGTGCCCAAAACTATCACGGTAGGTAGAGACGATGGATTCATGCTTGTTTTTGGGATGTATCGTAACCATTGCTTTTAGGTTACGGTTCAGCCCACGTGGAAGACTAAGACTCCAACGGCTACACCGACGACTGTCTCTACTACCACCGCCAGTACCACATCGACAACTACAACGGCTTCCCCTACCACCACGGCGACGCTGGCTACAAGCACTACATCTACCACAACTACAACTAGTACTACCACCACTACTACATCAACAACAACTACTACTACCACACCTTCTACCACTACTACAACGACTACTACCTCGCCAACCACAACCACCACAACCACCACAACCACGACCACTACCACCACCACAACGACTACCACAGGATTCACAGCCTGCCCCACCGCCTCTGCCATCGTCCCCGGCCCCGGCTGCGGCGGCTGCCAATGGACCGTCTCCTGCGGCCAACAGCTGACAGCGCTCGACTCGAACCCGAACTGGGACATCCTCATACAGCCGGACTACGAGTCGTGCCTGCGTGAGTGCGACGACAACGGCTTCTGCACCGCCTTCACCTACAACGCCGGCACAAGCGAGTGCCGCCAGTTCCTGTACTCGAGCGAGGTCGTCGCGTCGCCGGCACCCGGGTGGGACAGCGGCGTCTTCATCGAGGGGACGTGCGGCAGCACCAGCTGTGGGGCGTACGAGTGTCCGAGCGATAATCCGGAGTGTCCGTCGACGTGATAAGAGAGAGACACAGAGTGAATACTCTCCAGGCTTGGCTGAGCTTGGTGGCTAAGCCTCCTGAGTTGATGACGGAGGAGGACTTTTTCATACATCCCGGTCCCCGTCTTGAATTATAATCTTACTCTTTTTGTTCTTGTCAGCGGGAGTTAGGTATGGAGATGGGAATAAGAGGAGGATCACATCTGTTGACAACACAGCCTTTTTCCTACTCCCTCTCCCTCATCCTCCCTACCTCCTAGATGTTAGTTTTCTCGATTCATATTCCCCTCTTTGAAGCGAAGCGAGGCGCTCGGAGAACTCTGTACGTGTTGTATTACTCTATTATTCTATTATAATGAAATGCCAAATGGCAAAGGCCGATGGGCAAGTGGGAAGAGCAGAACAGGACATGGGTTTTGAGGAAGGGTGGTACTAATACTATACTGGGTGGGATCTTTGGACAAGAATGGCGATCGCCGGCTCTTTTGTGATATCTTTTTGTTGCTTAACCTCTCCTCCCGGACTACGCCTTCAAAACAGCCCGATACCGGACCTTCCCACTCTGCAACCTCGTCACAGCTTCGGCCACGCCGGCTTCGTCCATGGCGAACTGCTCAATTAGTGGCTTGACGTCGTGGTGGGCTGCAAAGGCGAGCATTTCGGCGTGCGTGGCGCGCGAGGCGACCAGGTTGGTCACCAGGTTGTAGCAGTTGAAGAAGTATGGAAGGAATCTTGGTCCATGGTCAGAATAACAATGAAGGAGATGGAGAAGGAGGTGAAGATGGAGATGGCAGAGGCATGGGAAGGAGAGCGGCAGGATATTGAAGCATAGAAAGAATATAGAGGGAGAAAGAAAACTCACGGAAACTCCAGACTCATGCCAATCGCGCCGAGGACAACGATCGAGGCTCCCCGAGCCACGACCTTTTCACTCATGAACCTATTTGTGGTTTCTCCAGGGTCAGCCAAGTACAGCCGTAGCCATGAGTGGTCCATCAAGGCCAAAGGATATCTTTCCTGACGGCAAGGTGTGATGTCAGGAAAAGGGGAGGAGGTGCTTACGTAGACCAATCCGGCGCCTTGTGCGAAGTGATGAGCAACAAATCCACCGGCTCCTTCAACCCCTCCGCCTCGTGCCCGAGCACCACAAACTCTGACGCGCCGAACCCGCGCGCCTCGTCCTCCTTGTCAGGACTCGTGCTGAAGACGGTCGTCACCGCGCCCAGCTTCGCCGCGAACTGGATCGCCAGGTGTCCCAGGCCGCCGATCCCAAGAACCCCGACCCGCATGCCCGGACGATAGTACGTCTTGAGCGCCGAGTAGACGGTGGCGCCGGCGCACTGGAGCGGCGCCGCGATCTCCGAGGGCATCGACTCGGGAATCGCGTAGACATACCCCTCGGTGGCGACGTAGTAGGTTGCGAAAGTGCCGTTGTTGAAGCTGGCGAAGCCGAAGATGTCGCGCTGGTAGCACAGCGTGTCGTGACCCGTGAGACAGTATTTGCATTGGCCGCAGCTCTAGATACACACAGAGAGAGAGAGAGAGAGGAGGCTTTGATTAGGTCATCGTTCAAGTGGATGAAAGAGTCTTCAAGGGCCCAGAGTAGGAAGAGAGCATCAAGGCAGGAGTTTCCTTGTAACATGGGTATTGTTCAAGACTGGATGGAAACGGGACATACACTTCTCAGATATCCTCCGCCCACTCGATCACCGACCTTGTGAGCCGTCACCGCATCGCCCACCTTCTCGACAATCCCGACCCCTTCGTGACCCAGAGCACAACCCGGGTCGATAAAGAACAAGTCAGTACCACAGAGACCGCTGTGGGTGATCTTGACCAGCACCTCGTTGGGTTTGAGCTCGGGAACTTCCGCTTGGGTCTTTTTCACCTTGCCTTCAACTCCTCGCATGACGAATGTCTGGGCCATGTTGATTGTTTGGTAGTGATGGCTTCTCGAGAGGATATAACTTGCTGGCTTTGCTGGAGCGTGGTTGTGAAAACTCTCTCTCCCTGCCTGCGTTGATTGACCTGATTAGACCTGGGTCTCCTGTTATATACATACCTCCTCAAGCTCAGCTTCCTGCCTGATCGATATCTCTCCCTCCAACATATCCCTTCTCCTTCAGCCGAATGGTAGGCTGACAAAGACCAACGACCCCATCCCGCAGACAAAGACAAATTCTTGACAACGAGCATGACAGCGTGCGTCGTCGTCCACAAAACTAGCGCAGAGTTTGATGACATTCTCTCTCAATATTCACCCCGAGGCACAAGAATCGAAAGGCTCAGTCACAATCAGGATAGAACTAGACCAGATGCAGTAGTGCCCAGACAATGGTAGATGGGTTTGTAAGACATTGTCAACAGCCCAGCGCCCACCATGCGCGATGCAAACCTAGAGGTTGGCTGAATCATCGGGGTTTTTACGACAGGTTGATCTATCCCTCTAGTGGGAAGCGAGAAGCGGATAGGTTGTTTGGATGTATGTACAGAACCATATGACGAAGAAACGAAGCTGAGCAACGACCAGATCAGGTATGGAATGATCTACTGTGGACTGATTAGTCGAGGACAAAAAGAGATCAGTAAATAGAATAGCGTGGCGGAGTGGCGAACGCCGAGGGTAGCTGGACGGCGAAGATGTCGTGTTTAGTAATGATTCCAATGAAGCATGTTCGCACGATGGCATACTCGTATACTCGCACTGGTTCAAGGTGTGGCGAATCCAATCCCATCTCATTCGCTGCCAGTCGAGAGCCTAGCACATCGGAAGAAACCCTCGAGTTCGGTGAGAACTAGGAGCATGGTTCATATGTGTGTGTGGCCATCTATTCCAGATCCTGGCTGTGGAATGCCCGTGCAACGGCGAGACTCACGACTGGATAGCTCATGATCCGATCATGAAGGCCGTGCTTCACAATCTGTTCTCGCAGCACTCCAGCTTCGCCTCTCCACAAGACCTCCCATCCGCCAGCTCCAAGCTCAGCTTTCCGCCTGGCCTTTTCCGCCTCCAATTCCTCAAAACTCAGGCTCGTTCCGGGCGGTCTGATTGCGTTGACAGCATGCCAAAACACAACGTCTGAGTGAGTCCACGGGACGTCATAGTCGTCTTGTGCGTGGATGATGGTAATGTCGTAGCTCGTCTTCCGCTCTGAAAGCTTCGTCGTCTCTAACAGACGGATAAATTCAGCGAGTTTATCCTTTGACGGCCATTTGGTAGCGATGAAACTGTTCAGCCAGGCCAGAGCTCGCGGCCAACGTGCGACAGGCGCAAGAAGAGGGATAGTGCCGGCAATGCTATACGTCTGGGTCAAAAGTTCGACGTTTGCAAATGGCGCTACGAGCACGATTCCCGCAAAAAGGGTCGGAGGTGATTGAAAGGCTAGGTAGTGGGTGAGAGATACGCTAACTGCCGTGCCTAGCGACTGTCCGAAAACGACGATTCGCTCGGGCGGGATGCCAGCAGTTTTCATCGCGAAATCTGTCAATGTAAGTGCGTCGGTTAGAAGACCAGCTTCTGACGGCCACCCAGTGCTCGAGCCGAACCCGCGGTAGTCAATGGCGAGGATGTGAACATTGGGCGCAGCGGCAGAGAGCGCACGATAGCTCTGAGGTCGCCAGCCTGATCCCAGTGTTCCAGCTGCTCCATGTAGATATATGACCACCCTAGCAGTCGGATCATCTCTTAGTAGTTTGAACCCCAATCTCTCTTTGATATTGTGGCACAACCCTGTCGGCTCTTCTCTCAGCGCCTTTTCATTTTTTCGATATGTCTCGAGAGGCAGGACGTGCCACGCATGTAGTGTTTCGCCGTCTGGCGTTTGGAGGAGGAAGGGGGTGACCTGGTTCCGGAGAAAACCCCAATGCTCGGGTACGTTGACATCTTGGAACCAGGTCAGCGTCACACGGTGCAGGTAGATAGCATGATCCTGAAGCGAAGGGATGGTGAGGAGACTCAAGAAGGCGAGGTAGATGCCGACGCTGGCTGTGACACCGATGAGGAGAGGTCGAAGGATCGCCGAGAAAAATGTCATCACCGCAGCTGCACAACAACAACTCGGGAACTTGGGAGGGAAATTTGTTGCTGCTGCGCAATGGCGGCCATAAACTTCTCGCACTACAACAGACGGAGAGAAATGACAAGATATGGAGTGTTCAGTCCACCACCACTCCCTGTAAGAGGTTTGTTTCGACCGCTGATAAGTACGCGCGAATCCCCCATCTCGTGTTTCGATTCGTCCTTCACCACTCCAGATACCACCAGCCAGGCGCTTAGCAAAAAGGCCCCAAAACCGGCGCAACTACAATGCCTGGACCTACAGAGTCATACGAGTATACATAGCATTCGGCTCCTGAAACATCAATCTCCACCATGGACCGGGGAGCGTCTCATGTCTAGGCTTTCACTGTAGGTTGTGGGCTGGGACTCGAATTCCTGACGAAGAATGGCACGTCCCGAACCGTCGCTAATCGTCAGGGTGTTGACGACGCGCTTGACTCGACGTTGAAGATTCTGTGTAGAATCCACCATCCACGACTGATATCGCGGGTGGGCTGTCAGCATGAACTTGGTGCAGCATAATACTTTTTTGGACTAACTTGAATGAATTATTCCTCAGGGGCCGGACTTCAATCCTGGTCGATACTGCAGCTATGCACGTTCTAAAAAACGAACGGTCTGTCTCAGCTTTGGGTCAAAGATAGCGGCAGCAGTCGACGCTGGACGGCGCTTCACCCAGTCTCCTCGTCTTTTAAGATGGAAGCGCAAGCACTAAGTCTTTTCCATTGTCTCCCCACCCACCACCCAACAGCTGTGAAGCAGCATCGAGCATTGGATCCTGGTACAAGTACTGAGTATCAGCATCGAGCGAATCTTCAACGACTCCCCACGGCCACTCATGCGCAGCATTGTTCCCACCGCGAGATACCATGGGACTCGGAGGGCGAGAAAATGGCAGATTCAACTTCTCTTGGGCCTATCACTATTTCCCATTATATGCCAGAGTCAAGAAACCAAATCGAACGCGACAGGACCAGATCCTTCTACTTGTGCTCCAGACGCCAATTTGCAAAGCACATTCTCGTCATCGACGAGAATCAGACACTGGGTGAACCAGCCCGACTATCGAGGCACCTTTGATATTCTCTGGACATCGATTGTGACGATATTTATCAGCACGTATAGCATGTTGTGTCTCAATGTGCCTGCTCCCAAGGACAGCTTCTCCACTCGTTTCCGCCGCCGTCTGTTATGGATGGCCCTTGGTATTCTGGGCCCTGAGTTCCCTCTCACATATGCTGCGGGTCAATGGAGCCGAGCGAAACAATCTGTTGTGTCCTTCAACGCGTACAATTACAAGGACTGGCACATGCGGCAGGCGTTCTTTGCCGATATGGGAGGCTTCGTGTTTCACGCCCGCGATGGCGAACCTTTCCCAATCAACGCAACTCAGCTCCACTGGCTTGTTGTCAATAAATTTGTCGAATATCCCGCCATTACCCGCAAAGAAATTTGGGACAAGTCTAAGCAAGACACATTTACCAAAGTTGTTACCGCATTTCAAATTTCCTATCTGATCATCCAATGCATCGCTCGTGCTATTCAAGGTCTGGCGATCACAACCTTGGAGCTCAACGCGCTTGCGATTGTTGTCTGCTCGCTCATGACATCTTGTTTCTGGCTTCACAAACCAGCAGATGTCCAGACGCCCATCCACATCCATTCGTCCCACTCCCTTGCCGAGATCACGCTCAACCGCGACTGGAGCTTGACGCCGCTGGATTTTATTGATGAAAATGGCCCTGGGTATTCCGTCAATGTGCAACCTTTCATGAAGATGCCAGTCATTCCTCCAGAGAGGCCGATCCAACGGATTCCCAACGACAGGTTTCCGACCAACCCATATGGTATACAAGAATACTTTCTATGCTTTGCTACGTTGCTTTTCACTGCCATTCACGTGGCTGGCTGGAGCTTTGAATTTCCAAGCCGCATAGAGCGCCTGCTCTGGCATATCTGCTCGCTTCTCCTCTTCGGTATTACTGCCGCATTCTGGATCTTTGAGACCGCGGCGTCCTGGACACGCCTGGGCCGTTGGAGGACGATATATCTGTTCGTCTTCAACCGAAAAGCGTTGGCAGAACACAAGATTCGTCTAGCTCGACGATCGGCCACAATGAAGAGAAAGTCCGAGCAATTGCCGGTGCCCTGGGAGTTTGCAACGATAACGCCATTGGCGATCATATATGGGGTGGCCCGATTCTATCTAATTGCAGAGGCGTTTGCAGAGTTGAGAAACGTGCCAGGGACAGCATACCTCAACGTACAATGGACGGATTTCATTCCACACATATGACGAAAAGGGGACAGCACAGGATGGTGTAGAAACAATCATTCAGTCACAGCCTTTGGTTTCGTTGATCATGGAGGATGGTAGTGTCCCTGGTAGAGTAATATAGCAAGGCATGAAGTGTTTGTTGCAGCAAGTGGCTAGCGTCGCACTGGAGTTCGCTTTTTAGGCCGGTCTTCTACTCACCGTGGCGGCGAAAATGCTCTTTCGCTTAGTTGTACTGGACCATTCAACGTCTCACGTCGTTGAAATCGAGTTCTGTGTTGGACGAATCCAATTTACATGGTAGACGAAGCGTTGTCTGGAGTGGTGGAGTGCAAGGCCCTGTCATTTGATTTGTCTCAAACCCACGTCATTTGACATTTGATTTTGAAGCCACGCTACTGGCATTGGCGATTTACCTGTACAACCTTCAATTGTGACCCATCCCCCCCTACCCCATATACCCACCGATGTTCAGAAGCACGAGCATTTCTGTTGTCGTTATGCAAGAGCGCCTTCATGAATGGCGGACCATGCCTCGAACTCCTTGAGGATTGACACGTCGAATGAACCTCCGACTCCTCCCATCTTGGCCCTCTTCTTGGTCAACTTTGACCATCGCAAAGGGTATGGCTATGCGCCCTCTCAAGTCTTTGGCGCATGCTAACAATCTTGCAGATACACTCTAGGATGGCATAGATCTGTTGACGACGGTAAACCTCCCCGTTCAATTTGTTTCTAGCGCCCGCACTGACCAGCCACTACAGTCCCCGTCGAGGGTGTTGTCGAGTTCAAGTCCCTACCGTCCGGTCTGCACAATGTCGAACAGGATCTGGTGTGAGTGATATACTCAAGAGCTGGTCAAAATTACTGAATAGTTGGGAAGATACTTTATCCACGATGATTATGCTGGACTTTCCGCCTTCATCAACAAGGCAGATGAGCAAGCAGACCGCGCTACCCGGATGTTGGCGGTTGGTGCACTGGTACCATTAGAACACGGTCGCATGGGCCGGATCTGGCGCCATGCGGAGTCTCTGGTGGAACTCTCGAGGTAGGATCTTGCGGTACAATGCTCCTGGCTGCATCTGTTGACAAGGGTAGTGCACAAATCGACAGCCCGGGGAGTGTTACTGCGCTCGAAGAGTATTGGGAGAAATACAAGCTGCGGCCTGAGGCAGTGCCACAAACGCCCGTTGAGTCTGGAGAAGATGATCCAACCCGCCGGCCCAATGGCTACCAGAAGTCAAGGACAATGTCCGCTGCGACAACCTTTATCCAGCCACATCATGCGTTGACGCCTCATCATCCTGCATTGACACTGGTAGATTCTATCAAGCTGTTTGGACCCTTGATATTTCCACTTTATCGAGCAGCCCTACTTCGCAGACGCATCTTGATCGTCACAGATGCCCCTGTTGAATTCTGCTGCAATCTTGGTGAGCATGAAATTACCCTGCCAAGTTGTCAGACACTGACTGCATGGAAGTATATAACCTGTCTATTCTTTCGTCTGTCTCAAAATCGCTAGTGCCGCACGAAGCCGATCCCCCTACTGCTCGCTTGCGTGCGCTGTTCACTGTTGGTGTTATGGACATTCCCCAGCTCGAGCAGGCTCGAGCTGCCGGAAGCAACCAGGGTTTCATCGCTTGCACGACGGATGATGTGCTCACCTCAAAACCCGACCTCTATGATGTCCTTGTTCTCATGCCTAAGGCGGGCTTACTGGCTGCCTCAGGAAAAGTGTTTCCGCGAATCGTTGTTTCAAGCCCAGAATTGACCAAGGCTTTCCCCAAAGTTTCCATCAAAGCTACCCAACGAGACTTTCGTCGGTTTGCAAACCTCATGCGTGGTCTCCGGAGGCTAGAACCTAGTGAGACGGCCGTTACTGATGATGAAGCCTCATCTGTTTCTTCACTTTCATCTTCAAACTCGACCAACAAGTTAGTGGTGGAACCTCCATCTTGGTCTCGAATGGCATACACCTCTTTCGTTTGGTGGGCTTCTGCTGGAGACCGCCGTGAAGGGTTTGCCGAGGGAGAAGAACATGAGATCGAACGAGACTCGACGCTGCTATATGGTGAAGACGAGGAGGAGCAGAGCCGTGAAGTTGCGGTGGTTGCATACTTCCACCGCCTGACCGCGACCATCTTTCAAACTGTCACAGCTGCCATTTCAAGGGTAGACGGCAGTGCGGAGGCTGAGGGCAGGTACCACGACAATGATGATGATGACACCGATGCAAACTCCAATGATCAGATGGGCCAGCAGGATAGCCAGCCTTTGTTGGCCGAACACGCCGCGGAGGCCAATATCGAGATCAATCACGAAGACATGCTGGACATGGGGTTGGACAGCTGGAGCGCGTCAGACAAACGATTTGTGGAAGCATTATCAATGCTCTGGTGGGAAAGACAAGCAACGGTGCGACCAGTGTCCATTGACTGTTGTGGACTTCGCCTACTCTGAACAGACGCACAGCACCATTGACTCGCACAAATGCTGTAGGGCTATCTTTCAGCCTCGTCGCACTTGCCGAAGTCTCGGTCGTCACGATGACGTCGATCAGTTGACCTGATACTCAATGCAACACGCCATATCTCATGAGCTGAAAGCTGCGGCCGAGGAATACACCAAGCACGAATTTACTCATTCTCGACTCCATCTCCTCGATCTCATGTCGACCAATTGTACCATATGGATTTGCCATGGTCATCATACCGCGGATACAGTTTCCGCTATGATTTTGCCAGCCATGCACAAAGGCCCACTAGATGACAAGCTTTGGCAGATCCGGAGACAGCTATATAGCTTGCTGCAAGCAGTTTCGACCACGTTCACCTGACCTCTTGGCTCGCTGCCTTTGGCGGTCAATCTCCTCACCAGGTAACAATTCTCTCGAAATGAAATTGAACGTCACAAATGTCCTCTTCTATGCGCCCTTGGGTGCTGTTACGGCTCAAATCCCTGCTCGCAATCCAGTGAGCGTGGGTCCGCCACTCGAGTTGATGCACCTCTATTTTGACGAATGGCCGACACGTACGCGACCTGCCTCTTTTCGTCTGAGGTTAACTTCAACTGACATCTGCTCTAGGGGTAGCTGTCTCTGCCTCTGGACGCATGTTTTCCTGCTATCCTTTGGGGCTTGACTACACCAATACGAGATACCAGGTCGCCGAGCTTGGCTCGAACAACACCGAAATCCCTTTTCCCAGCGCACAGGTCAATTCTCCCCCAGGAGGAGCAGTCAACTATTCAACATATCCGCCCACCACAAAAGGTCTTTTGGACTATCTGATGTCTGTCCAAAGTGTGGCTGTCGACCCCAAAGATCATTTGTGGATATTGGACACTGGCCGAGCCCTCCTCAGCAACGGCACACTGACCACCTCTAACCTTGGCGGTCCTAAACTGGTGGGCGTTGACTTGACAAAAAAAACACCGTTTTCCAGACCATTCTTTTCCCGCCGACGGTGGCCTATCCCGACCCCTACCCTAACGACGTTCGATTTGACTTGCGTTCTTCTCTTACGACCTCGGGCCAAGGTATCGCCTACATTACGGATTCTTCTAGCGAAGGGCGGAATGGAATCATCGTGGTGGATCGATAGACTGGCGGATCATGGCCTCATCTGGAAAACATTCCCCAGGTCCGTGCTGAGCCAGGCTTCTACGTCAACGTTCGGGGCGACTCTGTATATATGAACGCAGGTAGCGGGATGCCTATTTCCAAGGTTGCATTTGGTGCAGACGGAATCACTCTATCCAACGACGGCGATGTCTTGTATTTCTCAGTGGTTGTGGGGCGTCATTTGTAGAGTGTGCCTACTTCTCGGCTACGAGACAGGAGGGCATCGTCTGAACTGTTTGCCGCGGCATCGGTAATGGACCTCGGCCAGAAGGGTGTGAGTGACGGACTGGACAGTGATTCAAACGGTATAGTCTACGCTGGAAGTGTTGAAACCGATTCTAACGTCACTTTCAACCATCAAAATGGGACAGTCCAGACGTACGTGAGAGATCCGCGGATCGGCTGGACGGACACCTTTTCTGTGGCCGGGAACTATTTGTACTTTACGGAGAATCAGCTTTGGCGAGGGGCATCGTACCAAAGTGGCATCGACATGCGGGTCAAGCCTTATGCTTCGTACCGAGTGCCTCTGTTGAACAATGCGACCAAGATACAACTTGTATAGGAGCACGAGGCTGAACAAGGCTGAGAAAGCCTCGTCAAAATCAAATGACGAGTTCTGACCGAACCGAGGCGCAAGCACCAACAACCGCCCATTCATCCGACTTTTGACTTCAGCTCGTCCTGCTACGATTCGCGGACGCGTACCTTGTACATGTACGCAAAGAGGTGTTTACTCATGTCAGGTACCAGCACGCCCTTTGATGATTAACCGGAATCGTTGCGGAATAGAAGAGTTGAGTTTGAACTTTCTCATCCTTTTGCCCTCTTTATGGTCACCAATTTCCTAGTTGACTAGAACTGTCTGAAAGCTACAATCATGGGAACCGGAGACGGCTCAACACCCCAGGCCCCTGTGGTCCTCTTCGGCTATGACTGTGAGATACAGCCCGTTCCTACCTCTAGAGTAAAGAAATGTCAAGCTAACGTACTGTCAATCCAGCGTCACCGTTCACCACAAAGGTGAAGCTGGCCCTCAAGTTGAAACAGATACCATACAGTATGTTGAATAGACCGGAGCCGTAACCCACAGAGCAGGCTTTACCAGCCGAGATTGTTTCGTGGTCTTTGTCCTGGGCTGACGCTATGGTGTTTACTTGGACAGCTTTCGTTGTTGTGCCCTCGATGATGCCACGGCCAATCTTGAAGGATAATTTCAATGTGACCTACAGGAAAATTCCGGTTCTGGCCATTGGGCGCGAGGTGAGCAAGTTTGTCTCTTTGCTCGGTCTTGAGTCGAGTTAATAACTACCGGCCTCTTGGGCACTATACTCCTTGTGTGCCGCAAGTCCACGTTCAAGCTGAATGCAAACCTTGATGTGTGACAGATCTACATCGACACCTCGTTGATCCTCGAAGTTCTCGAGAGTCAGTTCCCCCCCGCAAACGGCTACGGCACCCTCTACCCATCCTCTGCAGCCTCCTTTCGCCCACTGCTCCGCGGCTTTGCCTCATACTGGACTGACCGTCCCTTTTTCCGCGTAACCACGGGGCTTATCCCAGCGAGTGTATGGCGTACGCACTTTGGAGCCGACCGCTCGAATCTGATCGGCCACAAACTCGACGCGGAGAAGCTGGCGAGGAAAGTTCCCGAGAATCTCAGCGGGTTGGATCTGCAGTTGAGCTTGTTGGAACCGCTGCTCTCGGGCGAGCAGACCAAGTCCTGGCTCTTCGGAACCGACCTGCCAAGTGTCGCGGATCTGGCACTGTGGTACCAGCTCGACTGGGGCGAGAAGATCAGTCGTGGCGAAGGGATCGATAACCTGACGGGTGGAGGGACGAGTGATGGGGACGGGGAGGGCATGGGAGCCGTGTTCAACAGAGACCGGTATCCCGGGTTATTTTCTTGGTTCGAGCGCTTCAAAGCATACGTTGACGGGCTGCCGAGTGTGGAATCAAAGCTCGAGAAGGAGAACACGCAGGGTGTGGAACAAGTGCTGCAGCAACTGAAACAGACGCCGCTGTCGGGCCAAGTCCCTCTGCTGGCGACCCCAGCTCCTCCGCATCGCGACCTTGACGGACGCAATGGTCTCGCAGTCGGTGCGGAAGTGACGATTGCTCCTGACGACACTGGAAGGGATAGTCCGACCATTGGGACAATAGTGGCCCTCACGCCGGAAGAAGTGGTCATCACGCCTCAAAAGACAAGCGAGGGTACTGGTCCAGCTGTGGGGGAGGTGAGAATCCACTTTCCCCGTGTTGGATTCGTGATCAGGCCTCACGGGCAGTCGAAGCTGTGAGCGAACAGGGTTTATCGGTTTATAAACAGCCTCATCGGGAATGGCGTGCCAAGCCACCGTATATGAGAGCTACCGAGTAATTTTCCTCTCATCTCACCTCCCATCATTCGTCCACGAGATCCCTTACGTGACTTCAGGAATTGTTGTTATGCTCGACATTCCCTTTATGCTCGTGGTGAAGCTCCCTCAGAAATACCACCACAGAGAAAACATGCCAAGTTCCCCATAGACCTAGAACGAGAGACACTGTGGGCAAACCCCGCAACAACCCCCCAGCGTTACGGGGCATCTTAATAGTGTTCGACTTCTCCACGGGATTGATGGATGATTGCCACCGAGAAAAAACTCTGAGTGAGATATTAGGGCAGTGAAGAAGCCGGGGAACATCCCACGGGGAAAAGGCTCAATGTGAAAGTTTTATGTACAAGCAATGGACCACCAACGAGTCGTCATGTTATGCCTGTTCCGGGAGCAGATGAAACACCTGTCGGTCCATAAAATTATGAGACTCGTTTCTATGACTCGGTCCATGTCATCAAATCCTGACTTATAAGATATATAACGGGACTTGAAAAGCTACAGGTGTGGAGAACACACCGCCGCCTTCACACCAGGGGGCCAATCACTTGGCTGTCAAACAAATGCGCTTCCCCCGGACTAGACGAGGTAAGAGTGCAAGGGCGCCAAGGGCGCTACCGGGCTTGCCAGAGGGTATCTAGTGCAAGAAATGCAGTTGCAGATCCTGGTACCTGAGAAGCATCCCGGGGTCTAGGAACGTGGACTCTTCTGGGTGTTTTCTGCTGATACTGTGCAGGTTGCGCCAACAGGTGCACAGAGAACTAACGTGAATCATCAAAACCGACACGCCTGCAAGAACGTTGTGCAATTTCTGCTGCTCTGGCCCGTCCCCTTGAACACTAAGAGCTATGCGGTTACCAGATGCCACACCGCAGCATAATCTTGGGCTATTCTAGAGCTCTCCCGCTACTCCAGATCCCACATTCGGCCGACTTCCACCAGATCCGCTCTGCTGGTCCTGGAATTACAGGCGGAGAAGCCCACAAACTCCCCACGTGTGACTGGACAATGCTTCCGAGGATGTCCTGATCGAGGCAAGACTGAGATACTCTGTGGGGACTCCACAAACCCTGGCTTTTGCCCGCCAACAAGCCCAGGTCTTGTTTGCTAACCTTTCCTGATCCCTGGTGAACCCTTCGTAGTCAGGAAAATCCTACTCAGGATTGACTGTCGCATAGCAGACAATAGCGATCGGCACTGAGCCCGATGATTACCCTGGCTCGTATTTTCTATATACATAAATCGCGCCCCATCCTTGGGCTTCTCCAGAGCTCAACTACCGTATGCTCTCTTCCCTTGTCCAATCTGATTGACAAGTCGGCCCTTGAGTGCTGTTGCAAACATGGCCAGCATGAATCGATACAATTGGCTTTGCGTGCTGTACGTGACCTTCGGGGCCGTATTTTATGGCTATGATTCTGGTGAGTCTCTGCATATCTCAACGCTACAGACACGGCGGCGAATTAACACCTGACACAGCCTGCACGACATCGGTCCTGGGTTATACCTCCTTCCTCGAATATTTCAACTTGAACTCTACCACCATTGGCGCCATGGGATCGGCATACTACGCTGGCGCCGTTGTCGGCATGGCTTCGAATTGGTATCTACCCAACAAATACGGCCGCATTCGGACCATCCAGATCGGCTGTCTGGCCTCTATACTCGCTGCGGCCTTGCAGACAGGTGCCCACAACTATGGCACCTTCGTGGCTGGACGAGTCATCGGCGGAATGGCCTCGGGCTTGATCTTCGTCGTCTGCCCTGCCTACAGTTCCGAAATTGCACCCCCTCTGATGCGAGGCCGGATTGGCGGGCTTTATGCGTGAGGAATCTGTCAATCTTGCTAGATTATGGAGCTGACAATTTCGCAGAGTCAGTGTCAACGGAGCTTATTGTTTTACGGAATGGGTGTAAGTCTATCTCTTTTGCCACCCGGGAAGGATGAATGCTGAGTTTCACATCAGTGGCCTAGGATTCTACTTTATCAAAGGCGACGTCTCCTGGCGCCTCCTGCTGGGCTGCCAGCTGATCCCCGGCACCCTCATGTTCGCCTGCTCCTTCTTGATGCCCGAGTCTCCCCGTTTCCTCGTCTACGTGGGCCGCCACGACGAGGCCTTGACGGTTCTCAAGAAGATGCATGGCACCACGCACGACGACACCTTTTACATGCGCGAGTTCCACCAGATCAAGGCCCAGATCGAGCTTGACAGGGAAGAGCGACTGGGACTCAAGGCGATCTGGCAAAAGCCCTCGTACCGCAAGCGATTCTTGTTGGTGTTTTGGTACGCCATTGCGTGCATGTAAGTTTACGACCCCGATCCGGATGGAGACATGGCAGTACTGATACATTGTCCCGCTACAGGCTTTCCGGTGTCATCGTCATCCAAAACTACCAGGTTATCCTTTACACGAATGTTGGATTCAGCAACGTCATGTCGCTCATCCTGACCGGTGTATGGGGCACCGTTGGCACCCTCTCTGCGATATACGCCGCTTTCTGCTTTGACTGGATGGGACGACGACCAACCATGGTCAGTTTTCCTTGCCTGGGGAAATTGAAACTTGTCAAGCTACTAACCCAAAGGACAGATCACATCGTACATTCTCATCATCGCGGGCACGCTCACGACTTGCATCACCTGGGCCATCTACGAAAACGGCGGAAGCACCAACCGCGGTCTCGCCAAGGGCATCATTGTGGCCATGTTTTTCGTCGGGCTCGGATACGCTGGGCCTGCCAACGCCTTTCTGGCAACTGTTCGTAACCCCCCAAGTCTTGTTATTTTTTTGATTCCATCCAAAAATGCATTAGGTTTTAGGACCTGTACTGACAATGTCTGGGGATGAAATTGCAGTATCCCGCCGAAATCATGCCTACGTCTGTGCGCCCCGTGGGCGTGGCCGTCAGCTACATGACGCAGCACGTCCTGATCATCATCCTGGTGCAATTCACGCCGGAGGCCATCGAGACCATCTCGTGGAAGTTTTTCCTCATCTTTGTGTGTTCGAGCTTCATCTTCTCCATTGTCTTTGTCCTGTTCTACCCGGAGACGAGGCACAAGACGCTGGAAGAGATCGAGGCCATTTTTGGCGACAAGGTAAGAACAGGATCTCTTCATGCGCTACTATACTACTCTTTCCCCTTAATCTTGTCTTTTGTGTTTCTTTTGCCAAAGGTCGGATC